GGCCGTCATGAGTCTTTCAAGTACCAGAACATAGATGCAGCACGCTTCATAAGGAGCAAAGGAAAATAGATACATAAATAATAAAACACAAGAGTTGTCTCCCGAATTTCTGTTATAAGTCTTCGGCTGAGCCATTTCAAGACCCTGAACCGTCCTTCTTTCTTTCCTTTCATTCATCATCAAACGTAACGAACCAACCGCTCATCACCACCTGTATCTTCCTCAACCCAAGTCAGCAACGAAACCAAAATGTCGGATTCAAACTTGGATGGCAAGTACTATGATGAGCTGCGGGACCAAATGCGTGAATACGGAGCAAGCATCCCATCCCCGCCCGCTGCTGTCCAGCAGCCCCTAAGACCACCCAACCAAACCGCTACATCGACCGAGAACACATTATACTACGCCAGGGAATACAATATCTTCGAAGATCAGTTCGGACAGGCCCTCGACCCTAGCTCACGACGATATCTTGGAGCTCCCACTCCTTTTTTTACTCCAGCTGCAAGAGGCATTCCGGCGGGCTCTCAACCTAAAGCCAATCCAGCCGCAACTGCAGCTGTTTCTCCTGTTGCTTCCCAAGCTGCTGCCCCGGCTACTATTCCAGCTGGTCAGCAGAGCAGAAGGAACAAGTCTCAAAACCCTAGAAGGAGAAGGAAAATGTTGTGGAGACTTTACAGCTCCTTCACGACAACTTCCGCGGAAACCGAGACCTCGCAACCCCGCCGGGAAGCCTGGGTTCGGGGCCTGAGCAATGTGAGACAGATTCTCTGTGTGGATGACAACAAAGATCACCAACAAAACTCAGGGGAGGTGTCAGGGACCCAGGATGGGACGAGCGAGAACTCAAACGATGGACGGGCTACCAGGAGCTTGTTGGCCCCTGATGAGAGGGGGGAGGAGGAGGGCGAGCTGCGATTTCCTCAGTACAAGTTTTGAGTTATCTGCTGAGCCTGTCAAATGCTGGGTGTCTGGAATGCTTTCTATGTTTTATAAAAATCTTTTTATCTCCCTTTTTTTCTTGGGGGGGGGGGGGGGGGGGGGGAGGGTTCCTGACTTTGGTCTTTCTCTTAACCGCGGAGGTTCTTTTGCTTTGGTCACTTTGACATTTCATTCTCTGCGAATGAGATTCGCATCTCACATTTGTACTTACTGTACCTCAAGCAACAACTCGGAACAGTGATGGGTGGATTAAACATTAAGTACATCTTGAAATAGCAGCATGTGACTGTGCAACCTCATGTCAGACAGTAGACCACTTCGTATACGACCCCCCATTTAACTTTTACTCAAAGCTTTCCCTTGCTTCATCATCATCTCAAAGTTCATACCCTCCGACCTCACTCACGTCCCTTGCAAACCCCTTCCAAAACTCACAAGGCGTCTTCTCATTCTGATCGTCACGAACCGTAGTAAACCCCCAATCACCCACATTCAACACCCCTCCCATCCTCTCCTCACTACTAGCTGCTTTTGACCCAGCAGTAGCAATACCCGAAGGCTTTCCCCAGCTGATCACCGGCGGCAGGTTCAGCAGTCCCTTGCGGTACGTGTTTGGGTCGCCACTAACAATAAACGAGGCAAAGTAGCTTTGCATGGCCATGCTGATGCCGGAGACGAAGGGCGCAAGGGCAGGAGCGAAGAAAGTCGAGAGGCAGTCGAGGATGGTTTGTGGTGAGGAGGAGGAGGAGGAGGGCGTGGGCGTGGAGGTGAAGAAAGTGGGAAGAAGGTCGGTGGCGTGTAGGTAGGGGAAGACGGAGTATTGCATCAGGTAGGTTCGCGATGGGGTGTAGGCTTCTGCTAGATCTGGAGGGTTGATGATTTGGTCAGCATGGAATTGCGGAATTGGTGATGGCGTTAGACCTAATGGAGGATGTAATGACGTTGATTTAAGGCTGTGTGATCCAAGCTGGAATGTCTCACCAAAAATGGCTGAGGTGATACCGGTTGGGAAGGGGGTGAACGGAGTTGGAGAACAGACAAGGAAACCTGAACGCCTTCTCCAGCGGTACTTGCTCGAGCACTGCGCCGGGGGCCGTAGGGACAGGAAAGTGTAGGAAGAGACGCGCGGTTGGAACGCGATTCCTTGTCACGCAAGTGTACATGATGCTGTACTTGATGAGGAGGGTGGGAGACAGCGACACAAAAAAATGAATAACTCACATCTCACGTTGCACGTAAAGCAACTGTCCCTTAGAAACGCCGCCATCCTTGTCGCCTGGCTGTCGTACTTCCTCTTCCCATCGGCGCTCTTCTTGCCCGGCACCGGATAGAACTGTTCGACCTTCTCAGTATGCCCGCTTTCCCTCGTGTAGTTTGGAAAGACGGTGTCGAGGAAGCCGGAAAACTGTTCATTCGTCCTGATGGCACCACTGACGAAGAGACTGGACTCGTCCTTGACGTGCGATATCAACAAGCTCATTTCGCTCCCCGACTGTCCTTTCCAAAAGTTTCCCTGAGCGAGTTCCAGGAGCGGCATCTGACGAATAAATTTTCCATCGGGCGTCGGTCCCACGGCAAATGTTCCAGGCATTTGCGAGGCTTGGAGCGCGGCGTTGGCTTTTGCAAGCGCATCGGGCGAGGTCTTTCGGAGGCAATTCACCACTGCTTCCCCAGAGCTAGAACTGCACCCTGCCAACCCTCCAAACTTCTTGAAGATGGCATCTACAGTCCCATTCCGATCCCAGGCCATTTGATACGCTGGACTCTGCAAGATGGCCCTTTGGAACATAGGATCGAGCTTGCCGCCCTCGGCCACTAGGTGGTGCATGATCGAACCCGCTCCTGCAGACTCCCCCATCGCTGTTACGCGCTTTGGGTCACCACCCACCAGTAAAATGTAATCTTTAACCCATTGGAGGGCCGCTCGCTGGTCATGCAATCCGACGTTTGGAACCGCAGAATTTTCCATCGATGTGCCGGCGAGCCAGCCATAAGTGCCGAGGCGGTAGTTGATTGATACAAAGATCATAGAGCCGGGAGATGGGACCGATTGAGTGAGGAGAGAGCTACCATCGTAAAAGAATGGTTGGAGAGACTCTTTTGATCCAAAGAGATAGGCGCCGCCATGAATCCAGAACGCTACTGGGAGGGGCGAAGGTTTCTTTGAAGCATCGGAAAGGTCGCGGAGTGTCCTGCCAGGAACGTACAGGTCCAGAAAGAGACAGTCCTCAGAACCGCCACTGAAGAGCGGAATGGGAAGTCCTCCTAAGCTGTTGAATGTCAGTGACCATTTGATGTCAGCGACGTCGAAGTCATTCAATTACGGGATATGGGTGGGCATACAACTGGTTAAGCGCAGCACCGATGGGGGACTTGTTGCCTGGACCCATAAGGTTTAGTCCAGACACTGCAGTTTGGATGCATTGCGGTCCATAGCTGCCGTCTTGGATGGTGTTGTTGATTCGTGGCGCCGCAGGTTTTGCCCAACGGAGATCTCCTACCGGAGGAGCGGCATAGCGAATGTTTCGAAACACATATCTGCGCCTGTTAGCTTTGAAGCCGAAGCGAGAAGAACGACCTGGACACTCACATATCGCTCTTCAACCGGTAGCTCGACGCTTGGTATGAGCCATATGGCAAAGTGAGGACTGGCAATGCACTTGGGGATGAAAACTTGACGCCTAGGGATGCAGAGTCTATGAGGGCAGAAGACAGCGAAAAGAAGGTAAGTGAAATAAAAAGGAATGTGGTGCTTGGAAACATTTTGGATCCAGCAGGTGCTAAGAGAGTGGTATCAACACGGAAAAGGAACGTATGAAGAAGAAACCAAAGAAGACCACCGCCAACCTTCAAGCACAAGTCATGAACTTCTGGGGGTTCTATCGAGGCGAAGAAAGAGTGGGAAAGCGATGGGGGCTCATCGCACTGTTCGAACTGGGCTTGGGCTTGGGGATATAGATCTATATTGCCCAGCTGAAGAAGGCTTGATGTCCATTCCCATTAACCTATCAATCCGTTCCTACTTCAAAGCATAAATCACACCCGTAGGAGCTTTCAAATTGTGTGCCACCCACCCCCTAATATCTTCAGAGGGTTGGTTCCCGAACAAGATCTCCGGCAATGGACGAATGACATTTGAAACAGCTCGAGTTCAAAAAGACCGTTCTTGCGCCACCAGGTAAAAAGCCAAGATGAGTTTTTGTGATGCGACAGCCGCCTACAGCTACCATTGGCGACTACTATTCAAGCCGGGCATTAGCTATCCGACCACTCAACTGTCCGTCGCCGCTGATCAAGGTATCGGGACCCCCGGCCGGGTCTAGCATCTGTGTGGCCAAAGAGCAGCCAATCAGAATCCCAGAAAGCGCCCTTTTGGGAAAGTCGCAAATTACCCCTGAGGCTCAGGAGGCGCATACTTTAGTAAGTGCCTGGCAGCCTGAAGTACTAATAGAAGGTTTTGGAAATTTAAAACGCTGCGGCGCTGTAGTTCGAGTCGACTCGAGCGGTCCCATACAGGTTGCCATCTCAAGGTAGCACTCGAAGTCTGGCCAGTCAGAGCCAGATACCTCAGGAGCTTTCCGGTCAGGCGGTGTAACGGTAGTGAAAATATCGTATTGTTATGTAGAGAAATTGATGCGGACAATGTACGGTAATGAAACGGTAATGTATGCCAAAACCCTCTTTACTGCCCTGTTTGTTGAAGTTTTGGTTTATATCTACTGCCTTAACTATGGGGTCGAGAAGCTTTAAAATGGTAAAAATGTGGTATATCGCGGTAAGGATCCTGGCCTTCTGATTGGTCGAATGTAAGTGCAGGTGGTTGCAGTTGAGTGCAGCAACTTGCAGATTTAACCGAAGAGAACTGAACCTAAGCGAATACAAAAAGCAGCTGTATGACTCGACTGTGCCTTTACAGCCACCAAAACTGGATTTCAACTACCGCCATACCACCTGACCGGACAGCCCCTCAACGGGCGCCAGTCCCAAGACAATTAATAGGTCACACTTAGCTTTGTTGGGGTGGACGGGCTCAACCCAACTTGACTGGTTGGGCGAATGGGTTTGTAGATAAAAATACACCTTTCCATTAGACTCTTTTGTTGAGTTCTTTTTGTCACTCGCTCACTATCAATCTGAATTGTTTGTTACTGTTGCCTTCCTTCACTCTTTTATCCACGAAATCCCGTCAATCTCGGCCCGCCCAGAATATCAAAATGAGAAACACCCACCAGACTCTCAAGAGAGCGGCGAGTCTCTACAGCACTTCCCAGTTAAGATACAGCGCCTCATCTACTCTGCGATCCCAATCCCGCCTTTCACATGCTCAATTCCGCTCACTCTCGTCGGCTGCAGGCTCACAGGTGGTGAACAGCCCGGCACCAAACAAGTACCAGAAGCCGGACTCGTTCGCTGGCCGGAACAGTCTCCTACAGGCTACCATTGCAGCAGACGCGCCCAGGAATGACTGGACGAAGGAGGAGATCCGAGAAATATACCAAACTCCGCTGATGGAGTTGGTCTACTCGGCTGTAAGGCGCACCAGAAGAAGATAAGGAAACACAAAACATTTATCAAGTAGTCTAACACTCACCTCTCCAGTCAACCCTCCACCGACGATTCTTTGACCCCGCCAGCGTCCAGCTCTGCACGCTCATGAACATCAAGACAGGTGGATGCTCAGAAGACTGCTCCTACTGCGCCCAGTCGAGCCGGTACAAGACGGGTGTAAAGGCAACAAAGATATCGTCCGTCGATGAGGTCCTCCAGGCTGCAAAAATCGCAAAAGAAAATGGATCGACTCGGTTCTGCATGGGGGCCGCCTGGAGGGACATGCGGGGCCGCAAGACGAATCTTAAGAATATCAAAGCGATGGTGAAAGGGGTGAGGGAGCTCGGGATGGAGGCCTGCGTCACTCTAGGGATGATTGACCAAAACCAAGCGGCGGAACTGCGCGATGCCGGACTCACTGCATACAACCACAACGTCGACACCTCCCGGGAGTACTATCCAAACGTCATCACGACCCGGACCTACGACGAACGACTCACGACAATCAACAACGTCCGCCAGGCCGGAATCCACGTCTGCTCGGGTGGAATCCTCGGCCTCGGTGAAGATGACGCGGACCGTGTGAGCTTCCTATACACCGTTGCAACGATGGAAAGCCACCCGGAGAGCTTCCCAATCAACGCTCTCGTCCCCATCAAGGGAACCCCACTTGGAGACGCCAGCGCCGCCAAATCGGAAACCGGGGAGCCGGAATCGACCGTAACCTTCCACGATACCGTCCGGATGGTGGCCACTGCACGGCTTGTTCTGCCAGGCTCGGTGATTCGGCTTGCGGCAGGGAGAATCAATCTGACAGAGTCCGAGCAGGCTCTTTGCTTTATGGCTGGAGCAAATGCAATCTTTACAGGAGAAAAGATGCTGACTACACCGTGCAGTGGATGGGACGAGGACAAGGCCATGTTTGACCGGTGGGGTCTCCGGCCGATGCTTCCAGACGAGCTGCACGGATCAGAGAATAGGCAGCATGCTGGCACCGAAGTCGGCCTCGAGCAGGAGCGTGCTGATGCTGTGAGAATGGCGTCTTCGTCTGCCTGAGCAGCCGAGCCGGCCAGGCTGATTTGGGTGCCCGCAGGCATGTGCAGAACCCTTATTAGCCGCTGGCGAGGGTTTGTGATGAGCAGAATACCAGACCGACGCCGGAGAACTGTGCTGGTGATCTCCGGGAAGCCTTTGCTAGAGGTCGGCGGGGGGTATAATCTCGGCTATGTATGACGGGATTAAGGCTGCACTGGTCCTGGGGCGGGCGGGGGGATGTGCTGGAGGAGAGCGAGTGACTAAAGAGGACCCTTCACTATGAACCGGAGTAGTTTCAAGCGGACTTGATTAGATATATCTCGTCCTTCATTTTGTGCGGATTGATTTGAGAAATGAGTTTTACGTTTGCTTGACATACTAATCTGTGGTATTCCGATAGATACGTAGAAGTACCTGACGACTTTGTACGACTGCTCGCAACTGCTGAGTGAGCTGTAGGACGGGATATAGAGCGCGGTTGGGGATGCTGATGGTGCCTTTTGGCTCTTGAGGTATCGTAATGGGGGTTGTGTTTACTTGTAAAGGGGAAGGAGCTCCCCACGAGGGCGTCTCTTACTTGCAAGGAAAGCACTTTACTTAGCTCCTCCCACGGATCTTTCTCGCTTCCCCTCTTCGTCCGCTGCTCTTTCGAATTCCCTTTTGTTCAATCTGCCTTGAACACTGCACACTTACACTTTCCACTGAACCATCTCTTAATCTCACTTCGAACCGTCCGACCTCGCGACTATGTGCTGATTGGGCCGCCCTGAATTGGTTAATCTGACAAATCTTTGACCGACAATGGCCAACATCAACTTAAGGGCTCTTCCCAACTCTCAGCACCTTAAAATAGTACCTCTAGCAACCTACTTAAATAGTATGCGAGATTCAAGCTTATCACATTTGCGTGAAAGGAATACGGCGGGATGTTAAGATTTTCTTAGGGTATGGCATCTATTCAACCGGCCTTGCCTTATTGACATCCCGTATATTCATCTTCCTAGCCCAGCCTCCCTACTCACTCCATTGCTTCCGATTAGTAGCCTATCTATGGGAGAGCGAACGGGATCCCGAGTTTTCTACCGTCTGTGGTCGTATGTGCTAAAAGGATAAAGATAGCCTTATATGCTGCAGGGGACAGAAGATTTCTGTGAATTTCTTAGCAATATAAGACTCCCCATCAGCTCCCAGATTTTCTCATTTTGGCTCCCAACTCTCATCCCAAGAGAGTTCTTGGAGGAAAAAAAGTTTACCGCATTGAAATTTTGATATCCTGGCACAACTGTGATGAAGGAACCTTGCTCCATCCTTCGTCTTCACACGTCTTGTTTTGGTATCTACAAGTACTTCTCTATATGCGTTGCATGGTCTGAACCAAGCGGTCATTACAACCATGATATTCCTACAATATCTTATCTTGACATTGCGCGATTTCTTCCTTTTGACTCGGTTAATGTCAAACGCCCACATACAATTCTCCAGGAGGGACAGCCCTTGGATGTATAGGTTCTGTCCCTTCCCCCACGCATCATACATCGCTCTCTTTCCCTTGCTCATAGCTTAGTAATCTTCCTCGCCCGACCCAGACACAATGACATTGTTGATCTTGAGAATCATTCTGCAGAGCTGCGTCGCAAGCATGAGCTGCTGCTTCTTGCCGATGAGGGGGTCAATGACGAAAGCCTCCTTCATGTTGTTCGAGCCACGGCCCATGCAGTCAACACCAAGACGGCCGCGACCAGCAGGATCCTTGACCTGTTGGCTCTTGACCTCGGCCAGGGTAGCGATGGGGTTAAGACCGCTGTTCTCGGCCAGGGTCATGGGGATAGTGTCGAGAGCGTCGGCGAAGGCACGCATGGCGTACTGCTCCAAGCCAGGGGACTTGACAGCAGCGTCCTCAACGGCCAAGCTGCAGGCAATCTCGGCCGAACCACCACCGTAGACAACACGGTTGTCACGAACAAGGTTGCGCACGACGCAAAGAGCGTCGTGAAGAGAACGCTTAGCCTCATCGATGATCTGGGTGATAAAAGTTAGCCAAGACCTTACTGATGCAACAGAACTCCATCGCTTACCATCTTGTTGCTACCCCTGACAAAGACAGTCACGGCCCTGGTGTTGGCGCACTCCTCGATCACAAGCATCTTCTCCCTTGTCGTACCGAATGTCATCTCGCGAACAACACCAGCCCTACCGAGCTTCTCGGGCTTGAGATCCTCGAAGCGAGGAACAATGCGACCGTTTGTGGCAATCGCAATCAGCTCAATCTCGGGACCACCGACCCATCGGACAGCAGGGAGGTTGTTCTGGAGGAGCAAGTGGTTCGCCTCGTCGTCGAAACCCCACTGGCAGATGGCCAGATTGGCACCAGTGTTCTTTATTTGCTGAATCATCTCGATAAACTTCTCGCGCTCGTACGTCTGCAGCTTCTTGAACTCCTCAACGCTGGTGATGTCGAGTCTGTGCTTAGTCTTGGGCTTGGGAGGCTCGAAGGCGCATGTGAGAATGGCAATCTTGGCGTCCCTAACCTCGGAAGGCATCTGGGGATGCGAGAAGTCCTTGTCGATAATAACACCCTTGACGAGGATAGTGTCTTCGAGAGCACCTCCAACCTTGCCGTCCACCTTAATGAGCTCGAAATCGACGTCCTTGCGCTCCAGATCGGCGACGGAGAGGACCGCATCGACGGCAATGTTGGCGAACTGGTCGTGGGCCTTGGAGACGATCTTGCTGCCCAAACTTGTCCTCGCGACCTTGACCAGGTTTGCGGTTTCCTCCTTGCTGAATTCGATAACATCGGAAATTCTGTCAAGCTCGGCCACAGCAATGTCGCAAGCTTGGTCATAACCGTCGGCGATTCTGATGGGGTGGATACCCTTGTCAATAAGCTCTGCCGCCTGCTCGAGCAGCGCGCCAGCAAGCACAACGACACCTGTGGTGCCATCACCAATCTCGTCATCCTGGGACTTGGAGAGCTCGACTAGTAGCTTGGCAACGTGATTTGTGATCTCCATTTGTTGTAGAATGGTCGCGCCATCGTTGGTCACTGTGATATCGCCGTCGGGCGAGATGAGGATCTTGTCGAGGCCACGAGGTCCCAGGGAAGTCTTGACAATGTTTGCGACGGTTCTGGCGGCGAGAATGTGGTTCTTGACGGCTTCGTTTCCGTATTGCCTCTTCTTCTTTCCTTGACTGCAGTAGAAATTGTCGTGTTAGAGTGAACCGTAGGACCAAGGCTCGAGATATCGGCGGAAAGGGGGACTAACTCTCTGACAACGATGAGAGGGCGGCCCTGCTCATCCTTCATCATCACCGCTGTTTCGGGGAGGCGTTAGCATTTTCGACCGGCGTGGGATCGGGATGGTTGACGGAGAAACCAAAAGAGTCGCGGCATACCGTTCGACAAATCCAAATCTGCACATCTCAAAGTTAGTTACGCTGTCGCGGTCCGGTGGACAGTGCGGTCTGGAAGGTATTCAGGGAAGTGGGGAGGGGTGGTTAAAGGGGGGGGAGGGGGAAGGAGGGGCTCAGAGGACATACTCAACGCCATCTTGGGCAATATTACGACTGCGGTCGGTAGTGTGCAATCACTATTATTGTTTGATTATGTGGTCGACCTCGTAGAGCTTCGGCACGACAGTCGGGGCGATTGCAGGTATGGTGAAGGGGATTGGGTTTGGATGATGGTGTCTGGTGTTGTTGTTGAACGCTGGTGGAATGGACGTCCGGTCAGACAGGAGCTCTTTGCGACCTCCGCTGCTGGCGGGCACCTCCAGCTTTCCCTACGCCAATCTCAAAAAATTGAACCCAGCTTCCACGAAACCGCCCCGCCAGCAGGAAGGCGGTCAGCTCCACCGGCGTGTGCGCTGCTCTGGGCTGCTGCGTGCTTTGAAAGCTGCCCTGCCCGGCAATTGACGGGGAGAAGCCAGCTGGCAAGGGTCCGATGGTATGTATGTACTTGGGAGAACTTCTGGCATAAGCGGATATGACCAAATCTGGTCATCTGCTTGACGCACATTAAACGCCTATGCTTTTGCTCACTCTCACCGCTTTCGACCAGGCAGCTTCTGTGACGCTGCTTTGGTGGGGTCAACCGGCACAATCCAAGGTCGTGGCGGGGCAGCACCTTGATTGCTCCGTCGCACAGCCGCCTGGAGCTTCCCGCTGCAGGAACTTTGTCTTTTATGTCATTGTAGAGACGGATGCTTCACAGCCTGGGAATTGTTACACTGAACAACCGAACCGCATAGATCAGATCAAACCCCAAAATACACATCAATTGCATTCATTTCATTATCTAAACTCTGTTCCACCACACCTTCAACTTCTATTTCCGTCATCGTCGCCGTATCGCAGCGAGCGCAGGCATCTGGGGTCGGAATCAGGGTTGCCTCAGCCTTAAAAGAGCGTCACGCCCGTCTCGTTCTTCAGGCGTTCACCATCACTCTTTTTCAGGATCCAGCAAACACATATCGATAACAAGTCATTATCATGGCGCGCCATCAAAACATCCGAAACCTCGACTACGAGGCAGAACTTGAGGAGTACGGAGCGTTCTCCGATGAGGAAGAGGAGGAGCTCAGCCCAGAAGACCAGGTCCGCATGAGGGAAGGCACAGCTCAGGTACTGGAAGCACTTGGTGTTGAGGCACACAAAGTCACAAAGGCGCAGATAGAAGAGTCGCTGTGGCACTACTACTGGGATGTTGACAAGACCATCACCTACCTCATTTCCAAGTACATCGACCCGCCCAAGAAGCCTGCCAAGACTGCTCCTCCAAAGACAGCGCCAAAGCAAGATGGTAAGTTCAGACCCTTCCATCACCATTCCTTTCCTTGTGAACAGCGAGTCAAGTGCCGCTGCCAACGGACGCAAGGCACCTGCATCTTGGGTAAAGGGTCTGGGCCGTGGTGGTCGACTTCGCTCAGCCGGTCATATCCCGTTGCTCTTTGCGAACCCTCATTGACAACGTCCTGTCAAGCGGCCATTGCAAGTGCTTCTCGGCAGTCATTTGCCCATCTGTTCCGGGACTTGCCATGGGGAAACATTCCACCCGAGCGGCAGGCGGTTCTCATACCGCCTCCGCAGCTACCTGGAGGCCTTCTTGGAGGTTCAGGAGCGCCCCCGAAGATGTCCAAGCTGCAGCAGCTAGCAGCCGCCCGGAAGAAGAAAGCCGAAGAGAAGAGCGCCTCAGGAGAAGTTGAGCAGACACAAGTCAAGATGACGGAGCTCACTGTCAACGACAACCAAGCATCCAAGGAGAATCGTCCGCTGGCTGGCGTGTTTGGCAAGCGGGTAAAGATATCAGAGACAACTGCTCAAGGACGCATCCCTCTCACTATGGCGGAGCCCACAAGACCCGAAATACCACAAGCTCAAGCGCCGGAGGCTACTCCAAGTCAGCACCAGGAGGAGGATCCAATCGACCCGGAACCGGCGGTGGCACCGCCAAAAGCTCAACCGTCTGCTTTCGCGTCGACTCTCTTCGGCCCCTCATCGGATAGTCCCAAGCGCAGACCCCGCGAAGTGTTCGCCTTACCATACATGGCAATTTCTTCGTACAGCCCGGATGCCTTTGGCAAACCCAGCCCAGATGACGTGGTCCTTGCGGCTCAGGCGAAAGGTTCGCTCACGGGAAAGAAACAGCACTAACGCAGTCACTAATAGTCGCCACAGCCGGAAAGAAGTCTGCGAACGTCCACAGCAAAAAAGGGTCATCTTCCGCAGATGGCGTGACCAACCAAGTCAGCCAGCTCAAGATAGACGACACACCCTTGCCAAAGAGCCGCAATCTCAATGTGCTCTCTGAATTTGAAAAGCAGAAGGGTAAGAAGACTGCCAGTTTTGTGGTTGTCGGCCATGTTGATGCCGGCAAGAGCACCATGATGGGGCGACTACTACTCGACCTCAATGTTGTCGACCAGCGGACCGTCGACAAACTTCGGAAAGAGGCGGAAAAGATCGGCAAAACGTCTTTTGCTCTTGCCTGGGTATTGGATCAACGCCACGAGGAGCGTAGCCGAGGCGTCACCATCGACATTGCTACCAATCGCTTTGAGACAGAAACTACTTCTTTTACTATTCTTGACGCTCCTGGCCACCGGGACTTTATTCCCAACATGATCGCTGGCGCAAGTCAGGCAGACTTTGCGATCCTGGTTATCGATGCAAGCACAGGAGCTTTCGAGTCTGGTCTCAAGGGTCAAACCAGAGAACATTCTCTTCTTATCCGCAGCATGGGTGTCTCGAGAATCATCGTGGCTGTAAACAAGCTCGACACGGTCAATTGGTCCCAGGAGAGATTCGACGAGATCACGCACCAGGTTTCGGGATTCTTGACAGCGACTGGGTTCCAGCCCAAGAACATCGCGTTTGTACCCGTATCGGGCCTCCACGGTGATAACCTCGTCCGAAAATTCACAGACCCAGCAGCGTCTTGGTATACCGGTAAAACACTGGTGGAGGAGCTCGAGGCTTCGGAACCAAGTGCGAGGGCATTGGCCAAACCCCTGCGGATGACCATTTCGGAGGTTATGCGCACACCCCAGAGTTCTATATCGATCACTGGCCGCATCGACGCGGGCTCACTGCAAATGGGCGATGCGCTTCTGGTGCAACCAAGCGGCGAGAAGGCCTACGTCAAATCTCTTCAGGTTGACGACGGAGAACCAGCGGACTGGGCCGTTGCCGGACAGAATGTGGTCCTTCATCTCAGCAACATCGATCCCATTCACGTCCGCGTCGGAGACATTGTATGCGACCCTGCCAAGCCGATTCAGTGTGTGGACACGTTCACGCTCAAGGCATTGGCGTTCGACATCCTCATGCCCATGCAGGTGGATGTGCACAGGGGAAGACTCCATGCGGCTGGAAAGATCGAGGCTATCGATGCCATCTTGGATAAAGTGACAGGCAAGGTGACGAAGAAGAAACCAATGATTGTGAAACCAGGAACGGTTTCTAGGGTTAGGGTCACGCTACACTCAAAGGTACCACTCGAGGCAGGACAGAGGGTCGTGCTTAGGAGTGGTGGACAAACGGTGGCAGCTGGATTGTTGGAATGATTGGGGTGGGGGTGGGAATTAATGGATTGGGAGTTTAGAACGGGTGTAACGGCGAGAAGACATGGGAAATGGAAGGGGAGAAAGTTTCGAATAGTGTACATACCTACACAGCCTGGGGTCTTCTGCCACAGGTGCTTACCCGTGAAAGCCAGCGGTTGGAAGTAGCGGAATAAGATTCTCACAGCTGTTTTTGGACGGAGAACTCGTACCTGTACCAAGTTAACGATACAAGGCTGAGATTCCACTTTCTCTCCATGCCGAACAGTACGCAGTACCCTACAGGTTGGTACTCGGTTGTGCATGTGGACATGGACCACAAATCTGGTCTCTTCCTGTCCTCCTCCTGGTATCCCTGCACCCCCGCAATGAAACACATGGGGAAGCGAGAGAGGGTTGAGCTGTGACGTTGATGCCAGCTATCAAAGCTATTCGTTATCTTATCAGCTTTCCCAGGATCGAATTGACTGTACTACAAAATATTGGTGGAAGGTTCGATCTCCTCCTAGCCTATTCGGCACTGTCTGTGCTCATTCCTCACAGGGCATGGAGAAACTTGGACGTTGACGTTTGGCATCCAGATGGATTGATTGCAGCTATGTATCAATCCTCGGGAACCCCGATGAAGAGATGAAAACTAGCCCAATGTAAGAAAACGGTTGGAACCTCCGCGCATTCCCCTGGATCACTCACCACGGCGCTGTCAAAAATGCCAACATGTCCACTTCCCAGGTTGAACAGTTTTGGGGAAATGAATGGGAGCAGAAGAGCCGCACCGCAGCCGCAGCGCTGACAACTAACTGCAAGGGGGGTCTGTTCCCTTTCCTTGGTGCAAGTGGGTGGGGAGTCTGTTCCCAATATGTACAGGAGACGGATCAGGTTTACAATCACGAACACTGCAACTTCGTTTTGCCTCATCTTCCTTCTGCTGCCTTGTACTGTAGGTCGTTTGAGTTTCGTTCTCTTTCTGTTCATCTCGTGGTAGTCCAGTTGATACAATGAAGAGTCAATCCCTTATTTCGAACTTGTCGTGACTGTTCTTTCTGAAGATGCCACGCTGTTCACAACGGGAGGCAAACATCAAGATATCTCACTAAGATCTGGTACGTCGATAGAAGAGTGGAACGGACCTCTTGGCTCACAGCGATCACCACCCCTAGCTGTCAGTGGGGCACAAGGTTGAGTTCCCCTTTGCCGTGAAGCTGCCCCCGGGCCAGGGTTATGCAACCTTAACGGCGGTGCATCGCAAGAAACAGAGCAGCTTCATGGAAACTGGTGGAATATCCCGTTAATTGTGGGATGAGCCAAGCAGTACAACTCAAAACGCCGGACAAGAGCTGCTTCGAAAGGGAAACAAAGAGTACGATAAGGGTGAACGGCATGGATGAGAAAGGTTCAGATGTCAAGGGAGCGAGGGGTCCATAATTGGTGATTTACTATGCAGTATGTATACACTAGACAGGCTTAACCGTACCTCACCATCGTAACATATCGTGAAATGTACCCGTCTATGGCACTTCAAGCATAACATGTCGCTCCGCTTCGGTAGGCCATTTGTACATCACCGATTGAATGATGTTCAACATTTCACGGTCCAAGAAGTGTACCCGCAACACAAGCAGCGCTTCATCCCAATGAGGCGCTGCGGAGGCACGAGAGCGCGGTTGTTGGTTAGTGCATCTTCCAGAAACGCGCCAATGCGGGCCATTGGCCACACCCCCCAGAAAACACATACCCCCTGGTCCCTGTGAACTGGCCGCCAATCCGATTGAGGACAGATTTCCTATTCCTTTTATTTTCTGTAGCAGCTCAGGCCGGGCCCGCAACCTGACGAGTGGCCTTTGCTGGAAAGAGGACACCACACCTTTAACGTAGCTTGCTTGCTGGTCCCACTCGCCTTCAAATACCCGACAACCTCCCTCCATCCATCACCAATCTCCCTTTCCTTTTGCAAACATTCGAAGAGTTTAAAAGTGGCCTAAGGAACCACTGCTTTTCTGTTTCTTGCTTGCTACAACCATCCCCATCCCCAATTCCTTAACCACACAAGCAGCGGGGTTGTTTTCTTTCTTCTTTCCTTCCATTATCCTTCGCCAGAGCTTCCAGTAATGGAGCACCGAACGCGAAGCTGGGCCTTGGGCCTCAGCATCCTGGGCTTCTTTGCCCTCCTCTTCTCTGCTGGCTTTGTCCAGCAGGCCCATGCCAATGACACTGAGGCTATGGGCACTGTTATCGGTATTGTAGGTTGCCCGCATTTCCCTCCTCTCCCTTCCCATCCCTCGTGTTGGGCAAAGCATTCTAACAACGCTTCTTTGACAGGATCTCGGAACCACCTACTCGTAAGTTACCCGTGCACGAATTCGCTGCCCGACACGATCATAAGCACGATCACCCCGCGGGGCATGCGGCGTTTGCTATCAACCTCTACCACCAATCTACGTCCCGGTTTCGACAAACGATACACATTGTCTTTTGGGGACAAGGAAACTAACAACCTCGTAGTTGCGTTGGTGTGATGCAGAAGGGCAAGGTCGAGATTCTCGTCAACGACCAAGGAAACCGTATCACCCCGTCTTATGTCGCCTTCACCGATGAAGAGAGACTTGTTGGTGACGCCGCCAAGAACCAGGCTGCGTCCAACCCCCACAGAACCATCTTCGACATCAAGCGTCTCATCGGTCGCAAGTTCTCGGACAAGGACGTCCAGAATGACATCAAGCACTTCCCCTACAAGTAAGCTCAGGTCACTCGACACAAATCACTCCTTCCTAGCCGTCACTGACTCTCGTATCCAGGGTCGTCGCCAAGGATGACAAGCCTGTTGTCAAGGTTGAGGTTAAGGGCGAAGAGAAGACCTTCACCCCCGAGGAGATCTCCGCCATGATTCTCGGCAAGGTACGTCGCATCGTTTTTGCTCTGGAACAGTAATCAGAGACTGACCCCCACAACAGATGAAGGAAACTGCTGAGGGCTACCTTGGCAAGAAGGTCACTCACGCCGTTGTTACCGTTCCCGCCTACTTCAACGACAACCAGCGCCAGGCCACCAAGGATGCCGGTATGATTGCCGGTCTCAACGTCCTCCGCATTGTCAACGAGCCTACCGCCGCGGCTATTGCCTACGGTCTTGATAAGACTGGCGAGGAGCGTCAGATCATCGTCTACGACTTGGGTGGTGGCACTTTCGATGTCTCCCTTCTTTCCATCGAGCAGGGTGTTTTCGAGGTTTTGTCTACCGCTGGTGACACCCATCTTGGTGGTGAGGATTTCGATCAGCGCATCATCAACCACTTCGCCAAGCTCTTCAACAAGAAGCACGGTGTCGACGTTACCAAGGATGCCAAGGCCATGGGCAAGCTCAAGCGTGAGGCCGAGAAGGCTAAGCGTACCCTTTCCAGCCAGATGTCCACTCGTATTGAAATTGAGGCCTTCTACGATGGCAAGGATTTCTCCGAGACTCTGACTCGCGCCAAGTTCGAGGAGCTCAACAACGACCTCTTCAAGAAGACCCTCAAGCCTGTTGAGCAGGTCCTCAAGGATGCCAAGGTCTCCAAGTCCGAGATTGACGATATCGTCCTTGTCGGTGGTTCCACCCGTATTCCCAAGGTCCAGGCTCTTATCGAGGAGTTTTTCAACGGCAAGAAGGCTTCCAAGGGTATCAACCCTGACGAGGCCGTCGCTTTCGGTGCTGCCGTCCAGGCTGGTGTTCTTAGCGGTGAGGAGGGTACTGAGGACATCGTCCTTATGGATGTCAACCCCCTTACTCTCGGTATTGAGACCACTGGTGGTGTTATGACCAAGCTTATCCCCCGCAACACCCCTATCCCTACCCGCAAGAGCCAGATCTTCTCTACTGCCGCCGATAACCAGCCCGTCGTCCTTATCCAGGTCTACGAGGGTGAGCGTTCCATGACCAAGGACAACAACCTCCTTGGCAAGTTCGAGCTTACCGGCATTCCCCCCGCTCCCCGTGGCGTTCCCCAGATCGAGGTCTCCTTCGAGCTCGATGCCAACGGTATCCTCAAGGTCTCTGCCCACGACAAGGGCACTGGCAAGGCCGAGTCCATTACCATCACCAACGATAAGGGCCGTCTTACCCAGGAGGAGATTGACCGCATGGTCGCTGAGGCCGAGAAGTATGCCGAGGAGGACAAGGCCACCCGTGAGCGCATCGAAGCTCGCAACGGTCTTGAGAACTACGCTTTCTCCCTGAAGAACCAGGTCAACGATGAGGATGGTCTTGGTGGCAAGATTGACGAGGAGGACAAGGAGACCATCCTTGACGCCGTTAAAGAGGCCCAAGACTGGCTTGAGGAGAATGGTAAGCTTTATTCTGATCCCCTTTGACACATGAAGACGAAATGCTAACAAGCTTTTTTCTTTTCCCAGCCGCCACTGCTTCCGCCGAGGATTTCGATGAGCAGAAGGAGAAGCTCTCCAACGTCGCCTACCCTATCACCAGCAAGCTTTACAGCCAAGGTGGCGCTGGTGATGACGAGCCTGCTGGCCATGACGAGCTTTAAATGAAGATAATCTAGATCCCCCTGCGTTTTCAGTTTTTGGTTGACGCTCAAAAAGAAGTGCGTCGTTTATGGTTGGTTGGGTTGCATATTTTACCTGGTGTTTGGCCGGTGAAATGGTTCGATTGGGAGTTTAAGTCCTCATGAGTGCCAGATCTATTGCACAAATGGACATGGTTCAGTTAGAAGAGCGTTTGCCATTTGTTTGTAAAATATGAATATGACCTTATTGACCAAATCTTGACGTTCCCTTTCCTTTGCCTGCCTATTCATTCACTTTTTGCCCACTCTTTAGTTGATGTCTTCTTCACTCTCCATCTCAGCCCCGACAATATACACACAGCACCATACTATATGAATCGACATGATCCATTGGACCAGGTAACGACAGGGCGCGTAGCATAACCGGTCAGGTAAAGTGACGAGAACGTATCTTTTAGATTGAACACTCGCGAAGCAAACCTTTGTCTATTTGTCAACATGGTCATCATCTCAGCCAGCTTTGCGCTTGTCAGGTCACATTAGTCCCGAGCAATCTCAGATATAAGAACGTAGAAACAAACCTACATAAAGGCTCAATGGTCCCTTCGTTGCTGTCCATCCACCTCCCGACCCAGGTTTCAGTTTTAGCCCAACTCGCCCACATACCAAACCCAAGATGTCCATTGCAAAGAAGCAAAGCTCCAAGACCGAATGTCCAGAAGTGACGTCTTCTTTGAGATTATCAACAACCTTCAACCACTCGACCCAGCCCGTTTATCTCCCAGCATTGACCTCTTTCAAACGCCAGCGTTGCCCAAGCCCGAGTCCAAGTTCCAGTTTCAATTTAAGCACAAAGCTGGAACTGGACAGCGAGACCGACGAACCTCTCACTATCACGTCCCCTCAAGCGGAGGACCTCTTCAGTACCCGACAGATCAAGCCCTTCCACCGATCGAGGCCTCGATTCCAGAAGCTCACCACCTCCACCACGTTATCTGAACAAGATCATAGAAACAGCAATCACCTTACTCAAACTGTCGCACACGACGTTCGTACTGGTGCTTATACCGTTCCCCGTAGCGAAACCCGTACAACTACTTCTCTCAGTGCAAATACTCCCATGACATCAGCACAATGGTGTCAAGCCAAGCAAGAGGATCCCGCCGCAGTGTCCTTGGCTCTAGCTACGAGGGACTTTATAGGGATGAGCATGAGTGTGGACATGCAGGAGGGGTTTGGGCAAAATACAAGGGGGGAAGAGGAAGAGAAGGAGGGGAAGAAGGAAAAAGAGAGACCGAAAAAGAAGAAGAGGAAACCAATAACGAATGGATGGGATAAAGAGACACATTCGAGAAGGGTCTTTGAATGGATTCCGAGTCCCGGGGGGCTTGAACCGGTGCCTGAGGAGTTTGTTAAGGGGACTGTGCCTTGGTGAGAAGGTTAATTGCGTGGAGGTTGGGAAGTATTCGATGGTTTCCGCCCTCCACTTTGGAGAGAGAAGGAGCGAAGATATAGGAAGGTGACCAATCGCCAATTTTGTGACAATCAAAAAAAAAAAGTTGGGTCAGAAAAGCACGAGTAAACAAGTCAGACACTTTGGTACAAATGATAACGCAAGCTCTTTACGCAGATGGATTATCCCGACTTCATCTGGTGCTGAATGTTGCCCTTGAAAGGGAGTGATGAGTCGATCCTCGAGACCCTTGAACATCGAAAGAAGCCGTCTTTCTACTACCTGAATTGTCCACCATCCAAAGAACACTTCACCCCGCCAGCTCGATGACAAGCTGAGGAGAGAAAGTTGAAACCGTATGATGGCGTGGTATATGTTCCCTTGCTTCTTACTCACGTTGGAGAGGATGGAACCTGGGAATAGATGAACGAGAGCAACTGGAAAGGTGGGAGGAGGAGGAGGGTGAGAGCGACGAAGAAGAGGAAGGAGAGGAGGACGATGAATGCCGTCATCCCGCTCCTTCCTTAAACCTTGCATCGACTTTACACCTTCATCCACACTATAACGATATTGGGCTGCTCTTACCCCAGAGGTAGTGATGATTTTAGGACACTCCGTCCTTTCTCCTCGCAATGGACGTGAAGGTTTTTTTTTTTTTTTTTTTTTTTTGTTT